TTTTTTTTTTTTTACATTGAACAGACAGGATCTCTGTCCTTTCGGTTTAAACAGGCTGGACCGGTTCAAGTTCCCTGCCAGACCAGGGGTGGGGGCGGCGAGGGCGCGCGGTAGGAGGAGGGAAGCGCGGGGACCAGAAGTGGGCGCGCTGGGGGGCGCACGGCGGCGGGCGGCGGCCGGGGGCAGGGAGGCCGGGGCGGCGCCGGCCTCGCGCGCCTCCCCCGTCGGCGGCCCCGCGGAGCGGCAGTGGTACAGTCCGAGACGTCCCCCAGCTATAAATAGCGCCAGGCGCATGGCTCTTTGGGAGGCGCTGAGATTCCGGGCCCCGCAGCCGCGGGCAGCGGGTCCCTGTTAGCTACCAGGGCTCTCGGTCTCTTCTTTTTGCCTTTTTGGGGTTGGTCTTTTTTTTTTTTTTTTCTGTAATAGCAGCAGGTGCAACCTTTTGTATTTTCAAAGCATTGATTTTCATTTTCGTGTGGGCAGGTAGGGGGGCGTTATCCACTTAGCTGCGCTCTGTTAGGGCGACAGGCGGGCTAAGCGAAGGCAGGGCGGGCGGGCGGGCGGGGCGGCGGCGCAGGCGGTGGTGGAGGTGGAATGGGCGCTTTTCTCTCCCATCTGGCTCTATTTATTTATTTATTTATTTATTTATTTATTTATTTATTTATTTAGACTAGAAAAAGCCAACCGGCTTGGAAGGAGTCCGCCCAGATATCTGAGTGTCCATTGATCACTGTCGAGAGAAAGAAAAAGCTACATAAATATATATTATGTGGGTAGATCTATAGTCAGGAGCTCTAGCGCGCGCTCTTTCTGTACCTCTCTCCTTTTCTCCTTCTTTAATTCCCAACCTGCCAGAGCAGACCCCAAATTCCTCCTGTTCTGCATCCACCGACACCGGATCCACCCGAGAGGATGGGACTAGGAGAGCAGCCCGGGCTGCATCAGAGTCTCCGCCCCAGCCCTCTGAGAAGGCGGGAGAGCATGTTTCAGTCCCGGACGACTTTTACCGTCCGGAGAGCGGCAGCCAGTGCAGCCGGTGGCTGGAGGGAGGAAGGTAGGAGCCAGGTAGGGGCCCTCCCCTGACCGGCTCGGGCAGCGGAGGCGGCGGAAAGGTCTGGGCGCGGTGGAGGGAGAGCCAGCTCGGGAGAGAGGCTTGGTTTTTGCCCTCGTTTTTTTTTAAAACTGTGGCAAATTGGAAATTTCTTTTCTTAATTCACTGTCAAAGAAATGATGCTCCCCTCCCCCGCTCCGTCCCCCATCCGCCAGCCAACCCAGCTGCAGCTGGAGGTCGACTGGCGCGGCTTGTGCTCCCCTGCACCACCGCATCCAGAGGTGTGAAGCCGGGAGTCTGGAGCGCCAAGTCTGGCTGCCCCATCGCTCAACGCGGAACTCCAGCCGGGCCCCCTGGGCTAGAGCTTCAACTGCGCGCGAGAGGGAGTGGCTGGCGCAAGAGCTGTCCCGCCCCTGGGGGCGAATAGTGGTAGCGAACTTGGCTAGGGCAGCCGATTTTCATTCTCGGTGTTTGCCTGCACCCCCATCCTCTCCAACGTTTGCTTTTCTAGGCTTCAGAAACCCGGCCAATTAAAATAACGCGCCCATACTCCCTGAGGCTGCAGAGCCCGAAGCTGGGACAGCAGGCGGAGCTGCTAGGCTACCCTCTCAACCCCTCGCTAGGCCTCCTTTGGCCACTTTACTGTTTTCAGGGATTTCTGTTCTTAACCCTGAATTACATTACTAGACGTCGTGTTTAAATTTTAATTTTAAGAGGCGCTACCCTAACAGCCTGAAAAACAAAACAAACAAAAAATCAAAAACCAACCCCCCCAACCTCAAAACCAAACCAAACCAAACCAAAAAAAGAACAGAAACAAAACAAAAAACAAAAAACAAAAAAACAAAAATCAAACAAACGAAACCCCCCCAAAAAGCCAAAAACCAAAAACAGATAAGCATTTGCTACAACCAGAAGGCTGTACACTCCAGGGGCAGATTTGGTCAGAGGGCCCAGAGATTCTCAGCCCTGAGGTTGACAGTCCCAAGTACAAAGCTGACTCCAGACACTCCTTTCTGAGGATGGGGTCCCGAACCCAACGGCAAGAATAATTCTGAGAAGAGCAGAGCTTTGTTCATTTAAAACAATTTCCCATCTTTGCTTTTTGAAGCTGTGTGTGAGTTTCCTAGGCATGTATTATCCCGTCTTAGAAACTGATCTAAGAATCGCTGAAGTTGGTGAAATGGAGAAGAACCTCATCTGCAGAGGAGATCTAGCGTGGCTGTGTGTTCTGTGTGTCTCTGATACGCTATAATAATGTGCGGATGTCTCTGGTAAGCAAGCTGGAGTGTTTGTTAGTGTGTGACAGCATGTGACAGGTGTGTGCAAATCTCTTGTTAGTACTATGTGCTGTCTGTACTCCCTCCTGTGTGTGTGTATGTTGGCCAGGATATCCCAGGACACATGAGCAAAAGATAAGGATTATTCAAATTCATCATCCAACAGCATCTTGCTGTGCTTGGACCTCATAATCTCATTGTGGAGTGGACTGTATTTTCTTCCATAACAGGAGAGTTAATGAAAATAATTTCTACTTGATGTTCCTTTTTCTCCCCCTGATTTCCATCCTGCCAAAGCAAAGCCTTGAAGATATGAAGCTGGGAAGTAAAAGGAGCCAGCTGAGGAAAGGGAAGGAAATGATCAGAGGAGATCCCCAGAACAGTCACCATCTTCTTCCTAACACCACTCCATGTCCAAGGAAATAATTTACATGTGTTTAGTTATTCTTGCTATTATTATTTACCACTATGTAAGTCAGAGCAGTAGTGTCTTAGAGGAATAAGTGAAATAATTGAGGGTGTTAATGAAAGGGGTCACCTGGATATTCAGATTCACATGCTACCTCTCATGCTACCTTCAAGACTGCCTCTCTGTGTCCTGTCTCTTCATGTGTTTACCCAAGGCTGGAAAGAATGACTTCCTACTTAGGTGAGCTTCTGCCTTCCTCTGCAGCCTGCCTGGTGATAGTGACACATTTGGATTTGGGCTTAGCCCTTGGATGAGGAGAGCATCTATTATCCGTTGTCTCTCTGACAGGTGTCTAGAGAGTTACTATAGGTCTCCTCAGAAATATTCTGGACTCCAGATCCCCTCACGTGAAAATGGCAGTCTAAGAGGCTTCTGGCAAAGCATTGCTGTCTTAAAGGTGCCAAGCTGCACTCGTAGGCTTCTGGTTTTCAGACACAGCAGAGTGTTAGGGGTAAAAATATTGCAGTAGGTGTCTCAAAAGAATGAATATAGGAGCAAGACCCTTGGGAGAATGTATGGCATGTGCTTAGGTTGACTTTTTGGTACCCTTGTCCTCAATATTCTAGGAAGTGTTAAGTTTTTCCCCCTTTAAACCTCAGATAATCAAAGAGGAATGTAATTAGGGAAAGATAGTGGCAAAGTATTATTCACTGTGACATTTAAGTATATCTAAACCGTTTTTTCTCCAACTGCCACTCCATGGCCACAATTATTTCATCCACTGAGAGAGAGAGAGAGAGGAGACCAGCAAATGGCAGGGTAACCTGGGGCAACAGCTTTTGTTTTCTTTCTGGTTCAGGAGTGACTGCTTTGTAGCTGATTCATCTCTGAGGGCGTCAGGATGTCCTGTGGTGGTGAAGGTATTTGAGGACAGATAAGGTCACTTACCTCTGCTCCTCTCCTGTTTAAGGAGAGATTACATTCTCTCCAGGTACCCCATCTACCATCCTTTCTCTCCCATAACCACTGAATCACACATAGTCAGAACTGTTTTGGCTGTTGTGCCTATAGCTTCCCCTTCTACTTGGTTAGAGAACAGGAATCTAGTTCCTTCTATCATTGCCATTCCCTGAAACAGAGATATTCACATATTGGTGCTCAAGATAATGCTCACTGATAAATTTAACTTGTGCTCATTCCTTTGCTCTTTTAGAATAGGGAGCTATGGCCCCAGGTCAACACTCTGTGGGAAGGATTCAGGGTCATGTGTGAGAACATATGGGAGCACAGCCTCCTGAATTTGCCTGGCTTAGCTTGGAGACATAACCACTCAGCCATCCTTGCATCCATGCAGCCCCTCTGATCTCCCAAGGGAAAGGCTGGAGAAAGGACAGGTCTGCAAAGAACTCACTCACTGTCTAGTTAGAGAGCAAAGTCACACCAAGCCAAAAGCCCCAGAACAGCAAACTGCAACAGATGGTTAAATGTCTTCCAGGCTTGAGGATTTCCACAAGGAGGAAATAGAAAGCAGAAAGCATAAAAGTTGAGGGTGCGAAGTGGGATGAACTAACTGTGAGGTGGGTAGTGGCTTAGAGGAGAGAGAGGTGCCTGCAAAGCAGGATGCCAGAGTGTTCTACTGCAGAGAGCTGGAGAAAGTGGCCGGCTTA